CCCAAGATCCTAAGAGGAGAAAGGAGGAGAAGGGATTGCGGTGTGGCCAACCCCCCTCTGGGGGGGGGTGATTTCTTGCTCTCTGTCTCTCTCTTTCTGGTGAGCGCATGCACCCTATAGCAAAAACCTCTCCAAAAAAAAAGAAAAGAAAAATCATGCCACACACATGTGCATGCGTGCCCAGGATCCCAGGAGGAGAATAGAGGAGAAGGGATTGCAGCATGGCCATCCCCCTGGGGGTTGATTTCTCATTTTCTCTCACTGTGTCTGTCTCTTTCTCTCTGGTGAATGCACCTGCTCTAAGGCAAAAACCTCTACAAACAAAAAAAATTATATATTGGCACTAACGATACACTAGGGAACCATGGACCGTTATTAGAGGGAGACTTTGTTTTATTTATTTATTTTTTCAAAAGGATTTGCCTTAGAATTCTTCTATAATATTTAAGAGTTGTACTTTTTCTTTCTTTTGGAATGTCTGTCATTTTTACTAAATAAGTCATCTATCCATGTTTACTATAGAAAAACCTGAGAAAGAAGAGATAAGTAGAAGTTTTGTTTGCAGTGAGAAATTGCTCATAAATAATTTTTATCAAATTACCTACTATATTTTTATTTTGTTTTTCATTTTTTTTGTTAAGGGCATATCTTATCAACATAATGCCCTACTCTTGGGCATTGAGGGATATGGTTTTTGCAGGTTCCCTGTCCTGCAAAACTCCCCGTGGGACTAAGCTCCAGTTACCTCTAGTGGTAGCTGGCCGGTAACTCACCTCTTGTTCATGACAAACTGTCTCATTTCCTCCACTTCGTTTTTTGTGTCTCTTTCTCCTCCTAAATAAACCAATTGCGCTGGAGTCCTCTCAGGGACTGCTTCAGGGACTCCCAACCAACTCGCAAGCGTGGAACGCTGGGCAGAGACGCTGAGCCCCCTCAGCAGTGTTGGGCTCCCACACAGCTTTGCAGAACCAGCCTCCTGCCTACTGTGGAGCATGCGGGGGCCAGGCCTTCTTGATCTACCTAGGCCCTGTCTGGCCGCTCCCCCTTGATTTGACAAGTTGACCTTGGCCTCCATGTTCTCATCCTTTATTTATTTCTTAATTTTTTTTTTTTGGAGAGTTTGTTGCTATAGGGTGCATGCGCTCGCCAGACAGAGAGAGACAGAGAGACAGAAAGTGAAAAATCACCCTCCAGGGGGGATGGTCACACCGCAATCCCTTCTCCTCCATTCTCTTCTCGGGATCGTGGGCATGCACGCACACGCGCATGGCATTTTAAGTCACCGGGTCTGGGACGCGAACCGTGGTCGACTACGTGGGAGTCCAGCGACATAGCCATTATGTTAACTGCTGGTCCCTCATCCTTTATTTTTTTTTAAGTTGGTTTATGTATTTCTTAATGATGAGAGTACCCAGCGGGGTGTTTATGCCGTGATCCACCCTGGCTTCAGCCAGTTCTGCCTCATGAGCGTGCACACCCCTCGTGTCCTCAGGAAGGTTTGCAGACCTGACCCGGAAACCATCCCCCATGGGTGAGCCTGCCAGAGCATGGCACTTCACCACTGCACCACGTCTGGCCTTTTTTCAATTTAAAAACAATTTGCTATAGGGCATGTGTGCTTGCAGAAGGCATAATGGTTACGTCACTGGACTCCCACGTAGTTGACCATGGTTTAATTCCTGGACCTGGTGGCTTAAAACTCATGCCAGGAGCATGTGCATGCATGTCCAAAATCCCGAGAGGAGACTAGAGGAGAGGAGACTGTGGTGTGGCCATTTCCCTGGGGGGGTGATTTCTCGCTTTCTGTCTCTCTAGCAAGCGCCCTATAGTAAAAATCTCTCTTAAAAAATGTATGTCTTCCATGAGCAAGAGAGACACACACGCAGACAGTTCTCCTTTTGCAGCCCAGTTTATGGTGGACTTTCATCAAGGCTACCTTGTCACTAATCGCTAATCCTTGTTTTTCCTCCGTGTCACTTTGTCTCCAAGTTAATCCTCTCCTACAGTTCCATCTCCTTTCTGGGCTTTTCTTATCAATCAATCTTTACTCGCCTCTGCTCCTCAGCCTTTGCCTGCAAGCAGGAGCCCGAAGGCCACACTGAGACTAGGTGAATGTCCCTCTCTGGGATTCTCTTTAACCTATTCTGAAAGCCCTGTTTTTTCCTTATAATCCTCCCAGGGAAGAATTTGTTGTTGTTGTTATTAGAATGACCTCTAGTGATGTCTCATCCAGGCAATAAGAAAAAGACATTTTTTATAAAGTACATCAATGGGGCCAGCAGGTGGCATGGTGGTTGGGGTGCTGGAATCCCACATGGCCGACTGTGGTTCGGGTCCCGGACCTGGCACCTTGCTTTCTCACTCTCCGTCTCTCTCCCTCTCTCTGGTCAAGTTGAATGATAATAAGTGAATAATAATAATAAAAGCATTGATCATATATTCTTTATTCTCTCTTCTACCTCTCAAAACTTGTCGGTTTGGGGACCACAGGATGGTGTTGCAGTAAAACGTGATGCTCTGTCAAATTGTGGGGGAAGATTCTCAGTTCAAGTCCAGAGACCAACCTGACTATGCTTGGCATGTGTGCCCATGATCCAGGACAGACTGAAGGTGGTAGTGGATTGCTGTGTTAAGACCTTTTTGGGGTTCTCTCTCTCTCTCTCTCTCTGTCTCTGTGTCTCTCACTCATGGAAGAAATAAGTAAATTTAAAAAGAAACAAAAACTTTTCGGTCTGAGAGTCCAACATTTCAAAACCCTGCCAAGATGCATTCTACCAAGTATACTTATCTGAGCTAAGATATGAGTGTTTTCTAGGGTCTTTATGCTGTCCTTAGCATGGGACATCTGTAACATAGTGAACTTAGTTCAGAGAAATATACTTAAACGTAAGAATCTGAGGCACCGTGTTAGGAAATATTTTTAGTGATCCTCCAAATACCAACATTCATATTTTGACAGGAGGATGGTTTGGCCTGGAGTAGAGAATTAGCCTGTTGGGACCAGCAGTTAGTGTAATGGCTATGTTGCTGGACTCCCATGTAGTCGACCGCGGTTCACGTCCCGGACCCGGTGGCTTAAACTCATGCCGGGCATGTGTGCATGCGTGCCCAGGATCCCGAGAGGAGAATGGAGGAGAAGGGATTGTGGCGTGACCATCCCCCCTGGGGGGTGATTTTCTTTCTCTCAAAAAAAAAAAAAGAATTAGCTTGCTGGGCTAGCCAGTGTGGTGAAGGTGCTAGATCCCATGCAGCTGACCGAACAGCTTGGAAAATGCTGGGTCCATGTGCGTGTGGGCCCAAAATCCTGAGAGGAGAAGGGATTATGGCATGACCATCTCCCGGGGAGGGGGTTCTCACTTTCCCTCTCTGTCTCTCTCTGGCAAGTACATGTGTTCTCTGACAAATAATTTTACAAAAGGAATTATAGTACTTTCCTTTATCCCTCCTCCTCTCCCTCCTTGCTTCCTGTCAAGAAAAATAGTACAGCTGATTTTACTAAATACAGTCTCTGTGACCTTGGACAATTCACTTAATCTCTCAGTTTCTATTTCTCCATCTGTGAAATGGGGATACAGAGGATCGGATTTAGGGAGTTTTGTGAGCATTAAAGGACCTAATACCTGTACAGCATAGAGGGAGGTTTGTGGTACAGAATAACTTCCAAAGATGTTTGCTCTGACCATTAACTTATTCACAAAATACACAAAGTACCACTGTGTGACAGGTCACATGACTCAACAGATTGGACTAAGCCCAAAGTGTCTAATGAGGGAACTAATTTAGGACATGACTATTCAACTTGCCTCAAGAAGGAAACCACAGTATCAAGCTTTTCTCTGTCCTTACTACAGTTTAAAAAAAAAAAAAAAGCAGCCTATCTTAGTTGGGAAGGTGACCGCCACTCAAGAGTGGCCAAAGGGAGGCCAACAGGTGGAGCAGTGGTTAGGGCACTGGACTCCCATGTGGCCGACCATGGTTTGAGTCCCAAATCTGGCAGCTCAACACCAGGTGCATGTGCATGCATGCCCAAAATCCCTAGAGGAGGATGGAGGGGGAGGGATTGCAGTGTGCAGCCGTCCCTCCTGGGGGAATGACTTATCACTTTCTTTCTCTCTGGCGAATGCATGCACCCTATAACCAAAAAATTTAAAAATTTTTAAAAAAAAAAGTGTGGTCAAAAGAAGGAAGCAGAACTGGGTTTTGATAGCTGGTGATTTAGGTTCTTGTTTTGTAAAGAAAAGAGAAGGCTGAGGTGTGGGTAAAAGAGAGGCTCCAGAATGCACTGGAATAGAGTGGGGCCCCAGGATGGCTGTCCATGAAAGGGGTTCACACTCTGCTGGGTGGACAAGGCATGTTCATCTCGGGCTCAGTGCTGTGTTAGCGCAAGGCCTTCCAGCCAACTGCCCACCTTCTCTGGAGCTGGCATGGCAGATTGGTTAAGACCATGGACTCTGGACCATATGGGTTCAAATCTCTGACTCACCACTAATTAGAAGTGGCCAACTGTATAACACAGAGGTGCCCATAGCCCATAGGCTCTTTACAGAGTGTGGCTGGCACTCCTCCTACCAAAAAGGTATCTCTGTTCCCTGTCCTTGACTATGAATGGGGGCTTGTGACTGTCTAACCAAAGGAGCATGGCCGAGGGCATGCCATGTCACTTCCAAAGCTAAGTCATAGAAAGGATAGAGAGTCTGCCTGGCTCCCTGTCCCCAGGACCCCATGCCTCCATGTTGGAAGGAAGCAGAGGGCACATGGGGATGTTATATCTTGGCATGCCTGCCAGTTACCCACCCTAGGCTTTATGCAGTGGTCAGTATCCATCACTAAGCCTGTGTGTGAATGAGCTTCCAGATCATTCCTGGTGCACGCTATTGAAATAGCTGCTGCATAGCAATAAAAACTTAATATACAGTGTGTAAATAATTTAGAAATAGCACAGAGTAAGAGCTGTGTGTTTGTATTAAAATTGCTGCTGCTGCTCTTTCCATTGCATGTAGCCCAGCTGATCTGCCCGTATCTGCAGCAGTGTCCCTCCCACAGAGTTCCCCGGCCTGGCTGATGCACCGGCAAGCCACATCTGACAGAACCAGGTGAGCTCTACTTAAAAAGCCCAGGTGACCCATGAGCCAAAGACAGGCCCTGGACATACAGTGATGGCATGAGGTAGAGGCTGGTGTGTACAGCTTCCACTCCTGGACAGGTCGGGAAGAGCTTGGACTGGGCAGATGTGAGAGCCCTGGGTGGGAGAGTGCTCAGTACTTCCACATCCCATAGACGGCACAGCCACGTTTGATAGCTGCTCAGGCGAGCTAAGCTTGGGGTGTTCCAGGAGCCTGCAGGAGGGGCTTTTAGCCAAGCTTATTAGGCCATGGAAAATGTGTCAGAAAAGGTTGACTGGGAATTGCCCAGTGAAAGAGAAAGGAAGGGGGGTTCCAAATGAAGGAATAGCATGAACGAACGCTTTGTAGAGAGACAATGTTTTGTTTATGGGGATTTGCAAATCCGAGGGTGGTAAGAGCACAGAGCAACATGCTCAGGGGTCGTCTGTAGAACCCCAGGTCTGTATTCTTCAAAATGCCAATATTATGAAAAAGAAAGAAAGTTTAAACAGTCTCAGTTTCAAAGAGACAATCCAGACACATCCACTGAATGTGAGGCACAATCCTGGGCTGGTCCTGTGTTGGCAGAAGCAGGCTGAATGTGAGGTGCGATCCTGGGCTGGTCCTGTGTTGGCAGAAGCAGTCGTGCGGCTACAAGTCATGATAAAGTGGCGACATCTGAGTAGGGACCGGATGAGGTGGTGCTCTTGTACTGATAGTTACTACAATTCTATGTGTGCTCATTCAGAGAGTATCATTTTTTTTTTTTAAATGAAAATCCGGCTGCTATAGTAGAGGTAAAGAGGTATGATGTCGGGTCAGCCTGCGGTGTTGAGGTTAAAACGCTGGATCCCACATGGCCAACTATGTGGTTCGAGTTCCAGACACAGCAGCTTGAAAAACACACCAGGTGTGTGCATGCCCAAAATCCCAAGAGGAGAATGGAGGAGAAGGCACTGTGGTGTGGCCTTCCCCCCCCCACCGGGAGGGGGTGATTTCTCCCTTTCCCTTTCTCTCTCTGCTTCTCTTTAGTGAGCGCATGCACCCTGCAACAAATTAAAAATTGAAACAAAACAAACACAAAAATGTATGGGGGAAAGAACGTGCAGGCGAAGAGGCAGGGAAGGGATGAGAAGTTAGACGGCCTGTTTTGCTGGAGCGGACACTGAGTTGTAGAAAGGTCATAGGGCTGGTTCTGGGTCAGTGAGTGATTAGTGTGGACTGCGTGGCTCAGGCCGCTTCTCTGAGACCCCAGTCTTTGCCGCTGGAGGGTCTCAGGAGGGAAGTGTGCATGTTAATTATGGCCCCTGAGGTGGAGAAGGACTCGCCACACAGAGCTCCTCTTGTTTCAGGCTATCGTTGATGTGCTTGTGCCACCAGTGCCCCGCGCACTGCCCTGAAATTTGGCCCGCATGTTTGTAAAGGTTGACTACCTCTTTGGGATGCTTTTCTAATGTGAAGAGATGCCATCAAGTTTCTGAGACCAGCAGTTGGCATAATGGATAATGACTATGTTGCTGGACTCCCATGTAGTTGACCGTGGTTTGAGTCCCGGACCCGGTGGCTTAAACTCATGTGTGTGTGCACGTGCGCGCGCCCGAGATCCCGAGAAGAGAATGGAGAAGGGTCGCGCGCGCGCGCCCGAGATCCCCAGAAGAGAATGGAGAAGGGATTGTGGTGTGGCCATCCCCCCTGGGGGGTGATTTCTCACACTCTGTCTCTCTGTCGCTCTCTTTCTGGTGAGTGCGCGCGCCCTATAGCAAAAACCTCTCCAAAAAGAAAGAAGAAAAAAAAAAGAAGCCATCAAGTTTCAGCTGCTGCCAATTTCTGGGATCAAGTGTCTCTTCCGCTGTGCCAAGAAAGGTGCCGCGTCTGAACTTGATGTCAAACAAACGTGGACTCATAGTTTGCTGGTTTCTAAAGGCCTGAAAGTTGTCATTTCATTTCTTTTCTTTTTATTATTTGGAAATTTTTTGATTAGAACACTATTTTTTAAAATTTCTATTCTATCACTGCACATCTTTGTAACATATGTACTGGCAGTGCATGACGGTAAGATTAAGGATGCTACCCTAGACATCGTTTTTTCAGCAGGGAATTTTACATTCTTGTGTCTGTGAAGTGTCTCGTCCCATTGCCCCTCCCTGCTGCCCTCTCCCAGCTCCTCCTCCTCTCCCTTCGTCTCTGGTCTCTACACTTACCCTCTCTACTAGCCAAAGTTGCCATTTCTTATGTAAAAAATTAGGAGCAAGTATTTCTTTTCAACCCTTTCACAGGAGAACAACTCAGTAAGCAGAACAGAATCCTGGCTACCTGGGACCAGGTATAAAAAGGAGTCTCGCTCTTACACACCTTTGGCAGTAGAATAAATTGGTCCCACCACTTTGGAAAGCTGCCAGGCAATATTTGACACAGCTTCATTTCTGCCGAATAGGGGCACTTCCAAACTGAGCGCTTAATCTAAGAGAAATGCACGCGTCCATTTACACACATGTACAAAAATATTCATAGCAGCTTTATTAGTAATAGTCAAAAAAACAGAGATAATGCAAATGTCCTTCACCACCTGCATGGCGGAATAAGCTGTGGCATATTCACATGTGACATCTGTGGAGGAAAGAGAATACACTAATGTGGCTGGATCTCTTGGCCACACGGACATAAGGGAAACATTCTACATGAGTCTATTTATTTGAAGTTTAAGAACAAGGGAGTTGAATCTATGATGACTACGGTCATAGTCGTGACGAGTGGAGGGTACTGACTGGGACAGGGTATGAGAGAGCTGTCTGACGTGCTGGGGATATTTGATCTCTTCCTGTGGATAGTGGTTATGCAAGTAAGATTTGCATATGAATGATATATTAATAGAAAAATAAATGAGACAAAAATGAGTAATTTCCACTGGCACGGTTGTGTTGAGGGGTTGAACATCCCCAGGACTGTGCCTGACAGGAGCGATCTGGGTGGGCTGTGTCCTCAGGCTTCATTCTGCAGTAGGCAATCACATGTGCTCTCGTTGGTAGGCTTAGCTGAGGCAGGTGCACCTTCCCCTGAAGGACAGAAGCTAAGACCGGTCAAGCTCTAGGACAGCTTTTCTCAAACTCCAGAGTGTCAAAGACTCACCTGATACTGCTACGCACATGTAGATTCTGGTCCACGAGGTCTTCGGAGAAGCCTGAGAGACTGTGTTTCTGAGAAACTCCCAGGTGATAGTGATGCTACTGGACTAACTCTGATTTTGTTTATTTGTTTGTTTTTAGAGAGATTTTTGCTGTTGGGTGCATGCACTCACCAGAGAAACAGAGAGAGAACAAACGAGAAATTACCCCACAGAGGGGAAGGCCACGCCGCAATCCCTGCTCCTCCATTCTCCTCTTGGGATTTTGGGCATGCACACACACGTGCTCCGTGGACCAACTCCGAATATCAGGGCTCTAGATGGTCAGGCTGGGTTGAGAACCTTGGCCCTGCTACTTACATGGAGATTTCAAAAAGTGCATGGAAAATGGAAGTAAAGTATGAATTTGTTTTCGTGCAAAAGATATTGAAATCCAAGCATAGTATTTTTTTAAAATATTTCATTTTTTAAAAAAATTTGAGCAGAGAGAGAGAGAGAGGGGATGTGAGAAAGCAAACTACCAGGTCTGGGACTCAAATGATGGTCAGCCATGTAGGAGTCCAGCATCTTAACCACCATGCCACCCGTGGGCCCCAGTATTTTCATAATAAGCATTTTCCATGAGCTTTTAGAAGACTCTTTGTATGAGCTTTGTAATCTTTGCCAAACTATTTGGCCTTTCTGAGCCTCAGTTTATTCTGTAGGATGATGGGGTTGGAGTGGAGGACAGGCTGGACAACCATGTCCCAGAATGGTGTGAATTAAATGGGATAATATAAAGTGCTTAGCACAGAGCCTGGCCTCCACTAAGCATGCACTAACTGGAAATTCTGTTGTATTTATTATTTGCAATAAAGAGAAAGGTTTGGATCCTGATTTGGAGAAAGGCGAGTGTGGTTTGCAGGGCAGGAACCAAACAAGCACTTATTTCCCTTGTTGCCTGGTGACTGAGGATTTCTCTCATTTCTCTTTTCTCCCATGATCCTTCCCCTGAACTCAGTCCCTCTTTCTTCACCATGAAGACAAGATGTTTCCTCTTCACTCTTCCTCCCACCCCAGTCCACTCCAAGTCTAACAAAGCTGGATGAACTCAGGCAGAACTGAAGCTTGAAGCCAGGCAGATTGTCAGATGGTGCCTGGAGGTGATGTCTTTGTTAAAGAAACATCCTCCCCACTGTGGCTCTTTCTAGTGGGGCGGGATTGGCCCCTGAGAGCAGAGGGCAGTGGCTGGTTGTCCATGCATGCCCACACCCAGCTGCCCTTTTCAAAGTTGGCCTGTACTCCTCCATGCACGAGGCCCCTCTGGAGGAAGGCATATGTTTCTCAATCTGTGGGGCTGTCAGTTGGCATCTTTTTCAAGAGCTGAATTAACTTGTCGTCAAGGAAGAAAAAAGAAGTGCTTGGTTCTTTGTTGTCTGGAGGGTAACTGGCCTGGACCAGGTCCAGGTTTTGGGGTGCCACTCTTTAGATTGGAGGTGGGGAAGCCATTTGATTGGAGCTTTGAGGAAGATCTGGTTCACTTTTATAAAGCAGGCTCTAGACCAAGAACTGAAGGCTTAAAAATAACCAGCTGAACAAAGGCGCTCACAGTGGAGTGAAGAGACAGAAAAGAAGCAAGTGTAATGCCCTGGGTCAGTGCTTAGGTAGGGGCACGCCTGGTTCCTCCACAGCACAGAGAAGGAGGAAAGACAGGGATGGCATGGTATCCAGTCTTCCAAAATAGCCTCCAATGAACCCTACTTCTTGGTAGTCACACCCTTGTGTAGGCCCTTCCCATATTAAATCTGGGCTGATCTGTGTAACCAATAGTCTTTGGTGGACATGGACTTGTGACTTCCAAGGCTAGGTTATACAAGGCCTTGCAGCCTCT